AACATTCTTAATTCATGCAAAATCTAATAGCAAGATCCCGATCCTGACTGGACTTCTGGGGCCAATTCACGAAGTATGAAATTCAGGTATGATACATCAGCTGATCTCGTGTGCATGTGTGTAGAAAATTGGAAGGTAAATTGCAAATGGAAAATCATAAGGTCATTGTCGATTAACATGGTAAGTTGCAAACTAGTTAGCAACTTACCAGGAAGTCAAGGCGCGACTCCACACCACCATCTCTGTTACATGTGCAGCCAGTGCTGTAAACAATAAAGTTGGATCATTGGAGTCTGTAAAAATAATGTGAGCATGTATCAGAGAACATACATGCCGATACTGTTATATCTCTGTCAGTATCAGCAGATCATATCTTCCAACCAATATACTGCGCTGTAATAATGCTAAAAACATTGTATGTTTAACATGAAAACAGGCAGCATTATTTGGATTTGCTCTGTAAACTTTCACAATTAGTATAAATACAAGGCAGTCATTAAATCTATTTTTCAGCTTGCATTGACTGAAAGTGTTGCTGTCTTTACACACAGTCCCTACATATGGTTTACCAAAGAACACATTCGATTGTGAATGTTTTATTCATGGTTCTTTCATGGCAGCATCTGTCACTCACATGTGCATAAAGGCAATGAAACCCTGGTTGACAGGAGCAGAAAGTGTTGGCTCCAAACTCGCTTGTTTTGAATGTAGATCCAATTTTATTCTAAGGCTTTATTTTCAGTTGATCATGGTGTCAGATGAAATTGTGCTCTGGCACAGGGCTAAAAACAAAGTGAAATGCGGTATGGAGAAAGGCTTTGTGCTGCCCCTACGCATGGAAACTATTATGCGTGTGTGCAAATCAAACGAAAGTCTGAAGCATAACCATATGTTTATGTGCCATGCAAATATTAAACCGGTTAATAGGCGTCATTGAAGCGGGCCTTGGCGGTGGAGTTGCTGACCAAATACAGTTAGTATCTCGGTGTTGAAGCTGGAAGCGCTCCACTTTAACTGCTAGCTAGGTTTATAAATATGTCTTAGTGGAGATTAGCCTGAGGGTAACCCCTAGCACTCTTCCCTGTGGAGTTCCTATCGCTTACACTGTCACATCCCTTCTGCTTTATATAAATATTTGTAATGCATAACTTCATGTCTGTGCAGCTGACATCAGACTCTACTGAGAACTGAGGAAGGGAGGACAGGTCAGGCCGACAAAGCTGGAGAGGATCGGCTGGAGTGGGTGGATCTTGTGCCTGACTTTCTGCAGCCAACTTTTACAGTTCAGCTGCTCTACTGTATGTTACTTAACTGTTGAGTAACACAGACAAGTACTGTACAACTCAAGACTGAGAAATACTCTTATAATGCTTACATCTCACTGACTAAATGTATCAGTACGTACAGTAACTACTGTATTAAGCATACACTGTTTTATTAGCTCTCAATACACAAAACTTTTACCAAAGAGCAAGAGTGATACACTTGATTAATTTTTCTTAATAGAACTGCAACAAACAATTAGTTAATTGTCAACTAATACATTAATTTTCTAAGTCCAAACGATATATCTGTCTGCCAATATTATCACCCTGTACTAACCTATCACAGATATATTGTGAAAACCTATTTTCTTTTGAGTGCTTAATGCAGAAAAAGATACCTGAAGTAAGCTAGAAATGGCATCATCACATAGTTTGTTCAGCAGAGTGGCTCCAACTCTGTTTACACTGCTCTCAGCACTGTGTGCAGCACATACAGCAGAGTACACATCACACGGAGCAGACAGCGTGGTGTCATCATGGTAAGTTGCTACCTAGTAGGGATATTCTTGATTAATAGTTCATCAATTAATTGCTGTTAATAATTTAACTTATTAAAAATATAACAATCAATAGGGCAGAAGACAATGACCATGCATGTCAGAAAAAACATCATGGATTTGATGTAGTACCTGCTTGTTCCACCAGGTGAAACCTTTTACTGTTTATTGAGAAGGACGACTGCAGCTCGCTTGCGGTGTTTAATACGCTTTAATACTCACGACCAGAGGAGGCAGTGGCTCAGATTCCAGGCAGTTCCGTGTTGGAAATCACAAAGGACCATGGGAATGTTAATATTTAAATCGAAACTGCTAAATGAGTAGCTATGTGAGTGTTATTTCAGTTGCATTGTGTTTGAATTGTGATTGTTGTGATTGGATGGTTGAGGTTGTTTTCTGTGTTTGGGTGACCCAGAGTATTGTGGGGGTTTAGCGAGCAACAGGTCACCATGACAAAGACTTCTGTAGTGGTTAATGGCTTCTAGCCAGAACAGGTTCATGTTTACTGGCACAGTATCACAAAAAAATCCATCATCAGTGGGACTCTATTCTGCATTCAAGCCTTCAGCATGTGATTATAAACACACAGTGCAACTACAAACATAATCACAAACAACAAACAAGCCTTAAAGACCTGTTTTGCCCTTTCACTCATTCTTTCCAGGTGTAGAAATGCATAATAGGAGAAGCATTAACAAGAACAACTCTATAAAGACATTCACCAACAATATGATGTAGGGAAACATTCCCCTCTAAGCATCACTTCAGTGATCCAAAAGAGACTTAAAAGTAGTTAGCTGCTAATTTCAATCTAAAATGAGGCAATCTGGGCGTACTTATTTTGGGCCTTCCTCCTTTAGAGCCTTGTTAAAGTCCTTAATTGCCCATATAAATCTAACTTACAATTCTAATTTAACAAGAGGGTTTTTAACATCCCTTCAATTACTTTTGAGCTCGCAACACTCTCTGGGAGGTACACGCACTCAGTGCACCAAGAAATCTTTTAGCATTTTGACATCATGTTGGCAGTACTGCAGCACAATATACAGAATAAAGGCCCAATGGGAGCTCTTCAACCCATCTGTTGTATAAAAAGAAGGGAAATGGCAGCCAAAAAATAAATACACAGCCACCATCTAAGCAAGGCAACGCTTTGGTTCCTCAGTTTGTGACCTGATCATTCAAGGGGACTGGCCTGTGATTCAGAGCCTTGCAAACCATGGCATTGTTTTCTTGTGGTGTTAGTTATCTGGGAACTGAAACTTGATTCACAATTGCACTTCTAACAATGTGCACTGAGGAAAAAGAAAAAACAACAAGTTAATGTTCCAGTGCAAAAAAAGACAAGTCTCTGCAGCAGGAGCCCTCATCCATGGCACGCTCCTCCACCCTCCTAAAGGCCCTCTCACCACTGTTGAGTAACAAGATCCCTGCAGGGGCAACACAACACCACCATCAGACTGACACGAGGCGTTCAGGTGAATGATAATACCGACTACAACCACATAACACTCACTTCTGCTCGACAACAATGGAGCGCCTGTCTCTTTGTTTGGGGTCTTTACACGGTCCGAAGAAAAGGCAGGTTAAGAGCAGCAACATTTTGTAGGTGGGACAGAAAAAAAAAGAAAAAAACAACCATGACAAGAGCCACTCCCTGCTTTCTGGTCCTGCTGCTCAGCTCTGTGCTGGATATTACTCAGTCACAACTGTGCATTGTCCTCCAGCTTTCTGTCATTTTCCAACAACATAACAGCACAAAGCAGCATATTCTGTTAGTGAAAAGCTGAGGAGTCATTTTAACATGTGCTGTCCTGCTTTGTGCCCGACACATCTTATCAAAGCTAGCATCGGTTTTCTTTCTTTTTTTTTTTTTTTGTCTTGCTCAACACCAGCTGGCTCAGGAAGATCCTGGGAAGCCAGTTTTGACACAGGCAGCCGAAATGCCTTACAGTGGGAAAATTACAGTCTGGCAAGCCTCAAATACCATAGCCCTTGGATATGAAGCTTCAATGAGTTTCATTGTAGTCATCATTTGAGAAAAAGTAACAGCTACTCTTGAAATGACAGATAGCACAAAACTAAAAGAAACCACACCATTTTTTCTTTCTTTCTTTTTTTTTGCAAGATAGGAATCAAGTAACATACAATGTAGTGAACTTCAGGACCATTTCTCTCCCTAACGCTACATTATTTTGAATTTGCAGCCTGGTGACAGTGTTATGAGCCAGACCCAGTTAAAATCATAGGAATAAATAAACATAGGCTACACATCACAAAGAGTACAGTCACCATATTTCAAAGCAAATCAAACAAGGCTCATACACGTCCAAGCAGTCTGCAAGTATTTGCATAGCCACGGCAGTTTGTCACAGATAAACATGACTCTGATTCCAAACTATTTTGTGTCGACCTAAATAATCTAGTTTGCGCTGACATTACTGCAATCATTTCACCTCAGCAGAGGAGGAAACATAACGTGTGCAGTGACAGTCGGCCCTAAAGTCATTTCAGCTTTATCACACTTTTTCATCACTTTGTTTTCACAGGTGGTTTTTGCACAACACAAACCCCAAATGCTCACTTCTCTCTGTTTGCAAAAGGACTGCTCAGGGTTAGGTCATCGCTGTGGAAAGAGGGCAGGAGAACTGCACTCAACAAGTCTCTGTTGGCCAATTTGCCAAGTCCAGAGCAAGGTGAAAGAATAAAACCAGCTGGCTTGGATGTGCTGTCACTTGATATGTCACACTGGGACAGCCTTAACAACAAAACAAGTCTGGATCCAGTGTAGTATTTGGTGTTGCTCTCTTTGTAGGATATAGTAATCTGAAAGGCACAAGCCTGAGCAAATAGGTGCAAGTAGTGTTTGATAAAAAGTACAGCTTCCTCTCGTGGTTACTTTCCTGGTGAGAACGAGGCTAATGATAAAGGAAGGAAACTCCCCTGACTAATGCAATGACAGCTGCTGAGAATGAGTGGATGACAGTGTTTCGACACTAAACAGTGCATCATATCCTTGAAGGCAACACTTCGTACTGACCGATGTTTCCTTAAACCTGCCACCTAACTTCAAATAGGAAGCTTTGTGCTAAAGCCTCTAAACACAACAGAACTTAAGTTACGCTGCAGGAACATCACAAAAACACGAACTGACAATTCTTACTGTGTCATAACATACCTGTAATCCTTTCTGCGCGTCTCCTCAAGCTTCAGCATACACTGAGATATCACTCTAAGACCCCTGTGAGGCAGCTGTGCAAACAAAATGCGCAGCACAGTTTCAACTGCTCGGCAGCGATGTGTTTTGGAAAGTTCGTGGCAGAGCTAACGTTAACCTGAGCACGTCGCTGCGAGGCGGAGGTTAACCGGCAGGAGCGACGAGTCCTCGACGAAGCAAGACAGAGAAGTGAATAAACGCGTGCCTTCTTCAGAAGACAGTGTGTCTTTCGATACTCATCCTCCGGCAAAACTGACAGAGGGGTGGACACAGCTCAGTCCTGTCCGGGCGGTATGCACAGACAGCGGGCAGAGCTGCTGGCAGGTCCGGGCTCTTCAAACTTAAAATGCCTTCTCGCTTCTGATTGGTCGAAACTCAGCGCCGTGCTGCGTTCATGTGCCGCCAGTAAACGCCCTCCTCCCTGAGCGTGAGGTGTAAATTACATACACTGTCTATGGTTAAATAAAACGTATCCGTGTTTAGCAGAAACACAGTATAAAAATGAAACAAGTGAAAAATTACATGTTACATTTAGTTAGGAAACAAGCTGTCTACAGAGTATATTTAGATACTTCATCATTTCTTGTTTCTGGTACTTTCTACACACTGTAGTTTTTGGATGCCCTACAAACTTAAACCAGCTTTTAAAGGTATAGTATGTAACATTTGTGCATTCATGTCTATAGACTACTAGGCTAACTTTATACATGTTGTTGACCTTTTTTCCTACATCATCCTAATGTGTCCAACAGTGTTTAAACCGAGAGAAATCCGTGATTTTATTCAATGTAAAGGTGTGTTTAAAGAGTGTGAAAGGAAGATGACATAAGCAAATAAGGAGCCGATCTGTTTTGTTTGTTTTTTGTTTTTTTCAATCTCTTGTTTTTGTAGCTCACAATTATTTTAGTATAATTTTTTTGACCATGAATAACAGTACTGGGCTACCCCTAGTAAATTTACTATATGATGTTAGTTACAGTGGCTGTATCAGTTGTTGGCTGTAATGGTAAGCTCCCTTTTACATAAGCTAACTTAATGCTAATGCTGATTTATTAAAATTAAATTATAGTTGACTGTAATGGTAAGCTAGCTTTAACACAAGCTAACTTTAAGACTAATGCTAATTTATTAAAATGAAATTATAGTCGACTGTAATGGTAAGCTAGCTTTTACACAAGCTAACTATAAGGCTAATGCTAATTTATTAAAATTAAATTATAGTCCACTGTAATGGTAAGCTAGTTTTTACACAAGCTAACTTTAAGGCTAATGCTATTTTATTAAAATTATAGTCGACTGTATTGGTAAGCCAACTTTTACCCTAGCTAACGGTAACTCTAATAAAATTAAATGAGATAACATGATGTGACTAAATGTAACTTCAATGACGCATTAGCTCATCTGTGTACATTACTTCTAAGTCATATCCATGAACCGTATATAAAGAGGTCACATCATAAAGATTCCTATCAACAATGGTGTTATGACAACAACTCTGATGATCCCACGCTAGGATTGGGTGATAAAATAGCAATGTGTACCAGTGGCAGAAACCTAGTCAATAGCAATATGAAAATTCTTTGATAGTGTTTCAACAAATTCATGTATGTACATTGTCATGATACTGACATTACCTGTGTACCTCAGTTACATTCAATGCTGGTGTGGTGCAGTTGCTAGCACTGTTACGTCACAGCTAGAAGGCCCTTGGGTAAGGCCTTCCTGTGTGGTGGTTGCATGTTTTCCCTGTTTGGGTTTTCTTTGGGTGGTCCGGCTTCCTCCCACAGTTAATTAGTTTAATTGGTCACTTTACATTTTATTCAATTCAAGTTCAAATGTTAAATTCAAATTATCCCTTTTCTCTGCTGGTCAGATAAAAAAAATAGAAAGTATTTCATTAAAATGATCAAATGTTAGCAAAAGAGACTAATATAAAACATTTCATCATGATTCATTTTTCAACTTTATTACCCAGCCCTCAACTTCAGAACAATATCAAACCAGGCTTTTTGGTATTGTTTTGAGTGAGAGCCCCCTAGTGGCATAAATACGGCACATTTAAATATATGAATTGTAATAGTTTGCACCTGTGGTTTCCAGATATTTGGCTTTATAATCTGCCTCGCATATATCCGTTAGAGTCATTCTCCCATGATTGGCTCATCAGTGAAATGCAGGTAATCCTATTTAGGATTTCACACACACACACACATACACACACACACACACACACACACACACACACACACACAAAAGGGAAAATCCCACAAACCATTAAATTTTATAGAGCGGACCGATGTTTTTTCGTCATTACTGTTTCAATAAACCCCTTCTGACCCACCATTGCTAGCGGCCCTTGTAATGCTGAACAAAGGGAGTCACCAGCTCCATTAGTGGACTTGTTTGCTTGCTGCATCAGCAAACTGAAAGAGGACATTGCAGACACTTTCTTCATGTGTTTATTTAATTCATTTAAACTGCATTCGAGGGGAAGGGACTGGTATCTACAGTGGGATGTTTATCATTGTAGTATTGCTTTACCAGTTTTCTGTAAATTTGTTTGAAAGCTAGTTCTGTTTTTGCCGTTCTGCGGTCACACAATCATAAAGTCAGGTTTATCAGCAGCTTCTTTGTTTTCATGTGTGTCACTGCACAAACATGCAAATGCACACTTGATATATGTTCGTCATTTACTTACACATCCAGCAATATAATGCAAAACAGGTGACGTTTGCATCGACAGTGGCTGGTATTGTTCACAGGCTTGCGTTAATGTTGTTACAGCGCACCCTACTGCTCGTATTTAGACAGTGAATGCATCATTTGGCATTTAACATATTGTTTTACAGTCAGTAGGAGGCCTAGCTGACTTTTATATGTGTAAATAAAAGGAGAAAAACATTTAAATCCTGGAATTTGACTTTCTTCTTAAACATAATGAACTGGGTTTACTCAATAATTAGCACGTTACTCTGAAATAACTAATTAGCTGTTTCTTCCTATTCCAGGATAAATGAAATAAAAGTGTCACGTTTTATCAACATGAATTAATTTATAGTGTTTTTCTTTGGTCTCTATACTGCAGCTTTGTGTGTGGAACGTGTGTGAGGGGTTAAATCCATAGCAACACGCTTTCAGTTAGACTTATCTTGATCCGATATCTTGACTAGATGAGATCTAGCTTAATTGCATTTGCACCTGACATTAGGGATCTGCTGCATGTACACTGAAATTGGATTGTATGGGCATGTAATGGATGTGTGTGTGTGAGTGAGAATGATTAATGATCTTGTCTTCTAATCACATCTTTGTACTGGTCACACTAAAAATAAGTGTCATGCCACCAAAGGTTATGTGAATTTGCTTTGCTGTAATACCCAGAGACGCCAGCGTGCACGCTCACACGCACGTACGGAAACTGCTACTAGAATGTAAAGAGTGCATCTTCTGCATTTGTTTGCTCTCGTCGTGTCAGAAACAATATTTTCCTGTCTTGGCAGAACTGAACGCGGTGAATAACTGACATTCAGATGACAAATGTGTTCACAAATACAATTTCTTTCCTTGATTTGGAAGAGTAAGTGTTTTGCAGTTTATTTTTTAAACCCAAATTCATGTTTATTAATGTTGGCGCAGCTTGACGTCCGCTGTCCTGCCACTCAGTCCGCTTCCCTTCATCTTCACTGCTTCTGCCTTCAGGTCAGTTGGGGAACACCAAGCCCACCTGTTAAACATAAACACATTTATATAAATTACCATTTACCGGCAGCTTTAAAATCCTTGCTGGACCCAAATCTTTTCCGTACAGAATAACAACAATGTCTCCTGTCTTGCTGCACTCAGTACCTTGTCTGGGCTCATATTAGGGCACATCCAGTTGTACAGGAAGTAATGAACACTCCGGTCGCTGATAGTGAACTTGAGCGTCTCCAGGAAACTCTGGTTGTCCATCACATCGAGGGCACAGAAGATGTCGACACCTTTCTGTTAGTGAGGGAAAAGAGACTGAATAAAACTTGGAAAACGATTGATGTCAACAGTCCTGTTAAAGTTTTGCAAAGGGTGATGATTTAACTGCGTATGTCATTTGGAGGGAAAGTTATGCAAAATTGATGGCAGGTGATTCATTGAGGTGATGTTATGTCAGTATTGTAAGTTGTAATGGATGTAATCACATGTGACTCAATCAGCAATATGCAATCGATTTATCGCCTGTGTGAGACATTGTTAACCCGTCTTAGCATCTGAACGTGACGCATTCACAGACGTCTGAGCTTCTTGTTCCATCACACTCACAGCTTTAGCCAGGACCAGCGCGTCCTCCATGAGGTCGGTCAGCTCTGTGGCAGCAGAGGCAGTGTAGAGGAGATGAGCAGCTCTGAGGCTGGAGTGAACCGGGTGATTCAGCACTCTGGAGGAGACGCTATAGAAACTCACCACATCTGTCAGCGCACCATCATCATTCTGTGCGTGAGGGGAGGAAGGAAATCAATTATTAACTTTGGCAGCATACTATCAGCTGAATTCTTGTTTTGACAAAAAGGTGAGAAGGGGTTTTTTCCTCTCTTTGAAATCATTTCTAGTGGAGATATTGTAAAGTCTGACCTCCACCACATAGGTGTCAACCACATCCTCCCTCGGCAACAACCAGTGCTCTACTTCCTGAGGAGACAGGAGGGGGCTGAGCTGAAACTTGCAGAGGTTTTTCTGGAGCAGCGACTGTATCCCCGGAGCATCTTCTTTGGTCATGGGGCGCAGACCTCGTACCTTTGTCGCCTTAGAAAAGACAAAATGAGGAAAAGCAAAGGAGACAGTGCTACGAGGATGGCCACTGTACAAATTCATGACACAAAAATCAATATCTTCACATCTTCTGTTTTGCAGTCCAACATCTTGGACATAAACTTGAGTGATTCTATGATCAGCCCTGCGTTGTGCACTAGAGGCAGTTATACATTTTGGCCTCTAGGTGGCAGCACAGACTAACCTCAGGTAGGCGGTTCAACTTGAGGGCTCTCTGCAGGCTCGTGTTCTGTCTCAGACCTGGGTAGTTGACCTCCATCAGCTTACGGGGATTCAGAGGGCGATGCCAGAGTCTAAAAGGATTAGATTGTTTGTTTGGCAGAGACAGTGAAGGTAAACATCGCTTCATAAGGAAAACGCCACAGACCTGATGTACAGGGTGTTTAACTCAGGATTATTTCTAGGCGTTCTTGTGCTATTAGAGGATAAGAAACAGCATACATGTACTTAAAACAAAGAGTGCACATTTGGTATTTAGAAGAGCAGAAACCAGCACCCTCAGACAGATTTAAAAATCACTCACTTTTGTATTGTACTACAACTTCTAGAAGTGGGTTTGTGAACCGTGTGTGGCAGCTACTACCTGCAGGAGCTGATTGGTGTGGGCAGCACTATGCCGGCCGTGTAGAGCGCCTGGTAGAGGCCCTGCTGGTTCACCCGTCTGGTGAGCTCTCGGATCAGAACTGGAGTCATCCGCTTGAAGCGCAGTTTCTTATGAACACATAAGAGTTTGACCTGCACCACCCGCTTCTCCCTGCACAACACATTTTTTGAGCCTTAGCTTCGAGACATGCGCTAGAAAATTACCACAGTTTTGTGTTCTGAATACTAATGTCACTCATCAGATTTCACACAAATACATAAATTTGCATATATCTCAGAGCTACTCACGTCTCATATATGCGAACATCTGCAGGAACGGCAGCAATGAAGCCGACCAGCTTCTTATTGGTGTCCACTCTGACGCCGCAGTGCCACTGGGGCAGCCAGTCAGGAGGTTGTAAAGCCCTTAAGAGAACACAAACGACACTGTCTGCAGTACAGCAATAATGGCACTTAAATAAACTCCGATTAATCATATTTCCAAAAAAGGAACTGACATGACGATGCTGACTTAACCTCAGGGACAAACCCTGAAAGCAAATGTTAATTATTCCTTTCAAAGTAAAAAGTTTTGATCATCCCTGAAGGTAGCGATAGCGTTTATGGAGATCACTGAGTAAAAAGGCAGCAGTAATGAGATCAGAGTAGTTGGCTTGTTTCTGATACGATGAGTTGAGTCAGATCACAAAGCCGAGTGGGGAAAATTACGCTGTCCTTTTAAGACACATGCTTTAATTCAGTGTAACACAGAGACTAAAAGCAATGCGGCGGGATTACACTGAGCAGCTTCCAGCTGTGAGTCTGTGAAACATTAACCCCTGCTGGGCCAAAGCAAAGCGAGTGCTTCTTCACTACATGAATAAAAAAGTTTTAGAAAATACATTAATACTGAAAATGTAGAAATCAAAAGTCACTAAATGCATCTGCTTGGAGCTCACCACTGCAGATACTCCAGAGAGAAGTCAAGTCGGATGGTGTTGTCATCGTCTTCTGTGTAGTTCTCGTTTAGCAGACTGCACAGTTCTTTTAACTGAAATGGTGGGAAAGCACTGAGTTTGATGCATGGTCTTCAAATAACATGCATTTTTCCTGAGTTTACATTAAGAAAGAAGCAAAAAACGAGCATCTGATGAGTGTGAAGTGTTTTGTTTTGATCCATACAGTACGATACCTACCACTGGAGGGCTGCTCAGGTCCAGAGTGTCCCAGGAGAAACCCTGAGGGAGTGAGTATGGTTCCTCTCGGACACTGGCCTCACCCTCTGCTATCGGGCCGTGAGTCGTAATATTGTCACCTGAGGACACACACAAAAGAAATGAAGGTTTCTGTAGAAAATGAGGTACACATAACTTAATTCTCAATATTTAGTTCATATAATGACTTTTTATACTACTTGTACTTCAGAGCATTTTGGGACTTCTTGTACAAAAGCAGGACTTTGTGGTTAAATGAACATTAAAAGCCCACACGACTGAGAATTTAAATCTATTTTTATAAAAATAAAAAAATAAAAAATCCATGTAATTACTATGAAATGTTATCCAGATGCGATAAGCAGTGGAAATAAATATTTAGAAATGTAATGTTTTGAGGATTTTGTCCCACATGGTTTGTATTTCATCCAGTAACAACGTACACATGTTTTTTTTGCTCTAAAAAGTAAATATGTGCAAATAAAATGTTAGACGATGATGCTGGTTTGAAAATATTGATAGAGTTGCTGTGGTTTTACTTTGATTATTTCTGCACATGGACGAGCACGTGTTTTAATACTGTAAGGAGGACTTTTATTTTGGTAATTAGCCACATTCACTTTCTGCAAGATGAAGAATGCGATGGATACCGCTGTCATTACTGTATATTGAATGTAAAACAAAAGTGTTTTAAAGTGTCTTTCCCATTCTTTGTGCTAAGCTAAGCTAACAGGCTGCTGGTAGAAGCTTCATGTTTAATGGTCAGACCTGAGAGGTGTCAAGCCTTCCCATCTAATCTAAAGTATCAGTCTTTTACTGTTACCAGAACCACAAACCAATGTTTTTGTTGAAGTTTTTACTATGTTGTTGAAAAACCAATGACTTCTTACCCAGTTTGGGAACAGGCTGCGTGTTCCAGAAGCTGTAAGCGTGTTTCTTGGCCTGCTGCAGGGTTTTCGGCGTACTTGGGCCCAAGGAGAAGAGGTGAAGGGCTCTCTGGATCTCCTGCTGCTTCTTCTCTGGCAGAGAGTCCAGCTGGTACAGAACAGGACGGGGAAAGGACAGGTTACCGTGGTAATCCGCTGAAGTGAGAAAAGTTTGACTGCGCCTACAATGAACTGACAAGCAGATCATTTCGGTGTGCAAACATACCTGGTTTATGTGTGAGACAGGAACAAAACATCCAAATGATATACAAGTGTGAACATAGTGCACATTAATACTGTATGAATGCCCTCACACAGAGACACATACCAGTGCAAACGGGTCTCTGGGTCCCGCTGGTCTCCATGCATCCTCCTTCTTTTGCTTCTTTTTGCTCTTTTTAAGGCTGCCGCTCTCGCCGTCCGTCGGCTTCTTATCACTAGAAAACATTTTTATGCGCTGAAGTTTCCCATGTACCCGTGTATCAATACCCTCAGCTCAGATATTCAGTCATTTTTTCTGAAAACAGCGAGTACTTACTTTGAATCAGTCATTGTAAGTGTGACTCCTCGAGGCTGGGGGTGAACTGGGGAGAGTTTTCTGACACATTTGCGGTTTTTCCAGCTCTTATCTCGGCGAGCAGCGAGGGGAGGAGAACGACCGCCTCAGCCACCCAACCCAAACTCCCACCCAGCGGACAGATAACCGAGAACAATACCAACAATTAACTATAACTTCTCACGGTCTTCATGTGTCAGACGGCTGCTGAATCGAGCCCTCTGGCAGCTTAAAGCTTACAGCAGCTTGATCCAGGTATCGGATTTAATTGGTTGAAATTGTCTAATTGCAGAGTTTCTTTATGGTCCTGCATTTAAAATTCAGCAGTTTTTCTCGAACTTTAGATCTCCTGAGGGCTAGATGACTATTGCACATATTCAGTGGAATGTAGCACTGCCACAGCAATATGACCAAGAAATCCGAGCGCCGATTAGTTGAAGATTATTCTGAACAAAAACGCACAGTTTAAATGTTATTGCTTATCATTATACACATTGATGACAAAAAAGTAAGTAAAAACACATGAAGAGCCACTTTTGTTCAACAAACTGCTTTTGTGGCATTTTGGCATCATAATCAAAAATTACATATATATGTTTATAGGGATGACTCAAGGTTGTGAAATTTCCTGGGAAGAGACTCAAAACTGCATCACAAGTGTTTGATAAGTGGGCTCATTGGCCCTTTATCCGGTTTAAATACGGCTTCTTTTACTTCTCTGTCAAACCATCTGTCTTCTCTGTCCAGAATGTGAACTCTACTGGTCACTTTGCTGTCCGACATGAGCCCTTTATCATCTATCTAAAGGCTAATATATATGAAATTATTGGGATTAGCATATTTTGGATGACTGACAATCTACACACACATATACTGTGTAGTCAGGGCCCGACCGATATGGATTTTTTTGAGGCAGATGCCGATTCCGATATTTGTCAGAAAAAACTTCCGATGACTGATTAATTTAAAAAACATATAATGAATAAAATAACTTATTTTTTGGTCCCTTAATGCTACAACAACAAAGAAATGAATTACAGGCAGAACATTTTACTGTTTTACAAAACATTGTCCTCTAGTATTTATTTAACTTTACAACAGAGGAATTTTCAAGCACAAAAACATGTAGACATTTTCACTCAAATCACCTCTTTGTAAAGGACTAAACTACCCGATGCCCCTTAATTGTTTTAGTAAACATTAGAAAAATGATATCTAGAAAAACACATTTAAAAAATCTGCCTATATTACTTTTACTGCTCATATGTTTATTTTCCACTGAGAAGGGAACATAAGTTTTTGCATCAAATTTAGGAGCCCATATTAACTTATGGTCACGCTGAGAAAGCAACTTTGAATTTTAAAGTGTGATAGGTCCTTATCAAAATAAAAGCTCTTTACCAAAATAAAAGACGCCCTGGTAGTAAGGAATTGCTCAACAGAAAAAAGCACAAATGCCAACCTTTGACCACTTTCTAGTATACAAACTTTCATAAAATCAATCTCGCACTCTGTGGATACAAGGGCAAGAGATCAAGCCCAATATTAAGTTGCTGACCCCTGTGTCAATGTGCTCCAGGAAAGAAGGAAAGTTATGTATTTTAAAGCTTTGTCAGAGAGTGGAGCAGTCTAGCTAGTTCCAAGGGATTTGCTGTTGTTTTTTTTTTTTAATCCTTGATTTGTGTTCTATCATATTCTTAGATTTGACCTTCATTTTAATAAATCAATTTAAAAAAGATTAAATAATTACTTCAAAGAGATATTTTTTGTTCTTGTTACAGTTTTCATGTCCGTCGGCAACTGCAGACCTTTCACCCGGCTGTAATATTATTTATTAATCAGCTTTTTTTATTTGTCTGCGAGTCTGGTGTTGGCTCTTTAGTTTGTCAGGCAGCTCATTATCACACAGAACCCCAATTACAGTCAAACAAGTCATTCAGTTTGCTCACTAAACCCAACAGTTCACGCTTTCTCCCTGCTGATCATTCATGCCACTTTAATTAACAGTGTTTGTGGCATCTCTTGCAATGTGTACGATGAATGTTGTCCCCCTGTATACCCCCCGAGGGAGGTTTTAGTGCAGTCCCTGTGGAGTCGGCTGCTCGCTGCTCGGATTCATCTGGTGAGCGTCCTCATGAGTACTGAGCTCAGTTCATGTGCGTTACCATTTCAGCTATAAATGGTCCACTCTGCTTTGATCCAAGTGTTTTTAGCTAAAATATACTTGTAAAATAGATGCACCCTGCATCCTTTTTTTTCTTTTCTGTTTTAAAGTGCAGCCTGGAGCTATTTTTGTCCATACGTCATGCTTCCACTGTGTTATTATCAAGCCACTCAAAGCTAACTGCCAGGAGGAGAAGGACGCCACCAGCACCTGTCATCATTCAGGCTGAGTTAGTGGAGTCAGTGCAAAGTTCATACACAACTGGCCACTGGATAGAAAAGATGGACAGTGCAGGAGAGGCCAGAAGAGCACGCTCCTGTTGAGTCTCAGGTGTTTCAACATAACACAACACTTTACACCTACCAATTACTGGTGGCTGCTGCGCTTTCTTTTGCATGCAGCGCCGTGCTGGAGAGGAAGCGCCGACTCTTGGTATGCAGACAGGATGACCACAGCGGTGACACAGCTGGCTCAGCTGCAAACCCTGGAGGCACAAGAACAAGACGAGATGAAATTTCCAGCTGAACGCCAGACAAAGCATCTCTGGTGAGCTGATAAAGCTTCTAATACATTTCATATCTAAGTTCATCTCTATATCTAGCATCAAGTTTTGTTTTGTTTTGCTTTGTTTTGTTCTAGTTGTGTCCCATTTCTGTTTTAAAATCTGATCTGTTTTCCCCAAAAGTCATTAAAATTTAATCTTATATCGGAACAGTGGCCCTCTCAAGGAGTTACTGAAAGACTCATGTGGAAAATAATTCAACCGTTTCGTCAAGATGGGAGGAAAGTAAAGTGGAATGTTTTACTAATTTCAGTCTATCAGTGGTAATTACAGTCATGTTGCACAGATAAACTAATCACAACCTCAATTCACAGCATAAACTTGGATATTTGTCTATTGTGTATCTAACACACTCAAAATTGTGATCAACTAAACACGATGTCTTGATAACCACAGCACACATTGAACTCTGGCACAGTGCAGGAGAGTGATAGGACAGGACACACCTGCATTTGAAGTGTTTTGGAGGAAATCAGCAGTTTAGGCTCTGGGCATAGTTTAAAAATAACAGTCCTTAACATCATCTGACAAAATGATGAAGTTTGAATTTGAGGGTTTTTTCCCGACACGTTAAAAACATTTCAGACACTGTAATCACTTTTTTTTTTTTTTATGGGTGGAAAACTGCATTATATGAGATGAATTGGTCCTTTAAAGCTGTTTTAGTCTTAAGAAACAATTGAACTGGTTACAGTTTAGGTCACAGAGCAGGTAAAATAATGCAGAGACACGAGGATAACAGTGTTTGGCAGAAGTTTTACGTTCTGAAAATGTTCTGGAATGTTGCATGAGAATGTCCTTCATCATGTGACCAATGTTACAGAAGAACGTTCTCAGCAGCAACATCCCCAAAACATCCTCAGAACACTGCAGGCAAAATGTTCCACCTTTATATTTATGAAAATATAACATTTCAGGAACGTTTTTAAAAACAAAACATCTTGAAATCCTTTTTTTTGAATGTTGGTTTGAAAATCGTGACAATTTCACAACATCCACTAAATATCCTGTAAAAGTTCTGCCTTAGTTCACTTTTAACTTAATAGAAACATTTTTTAAACATAAAACAACAAATATCCTTAAAACTGTCTTTGAGTGTTTTCTTTCAAACACACTTACCGTAGGTTGTGTTAGCCAATGTTGTGGGAATGTTCACTGCTTTCTGGGGTGCTTCCTGATGAAGTCGAGGTTTACATGAAACAAGAAAAGAAAAACAATGTCAGTACATCAGACAGAAACTTGAATATTCAGCTGCACTCCGTTACAATAATGGAAATCGAGATATTTTCTTTAATTCGTCCCTATTTGGACAGAACATGATGAACAAACTAATGAAGATTCACACATTCGTATGTGACAGAACCGTCTTGTTTGCTTTTCAGTAGAGCTTTGTTTTCAGCTCATCTGCTAAGAGACACCTTACACATTATTACACATATTTTATCAATTGCTTGGTTTTTGTTTTGCTTTGTTTGCTGGCTGCCTGCATGTTGGCGCACTTTAAAGTTTCTAGATATGAGACGGAGATCGACAGGTTCTGAGGAGACATTCTGTTTTCAGTAACTCCAGCATCTGATTTTTGCAAAAAGCGCCTGATTTTTCAGTTTATTTACTAAAGCGTGTATCTCAAAATAAATAAAATATTATTATGAGTGAAAAATAAATAGCTTACACCCCCTGAAAAAAAAATAAAAAAATAAAATAAAATAAAAAAATCAATGTCCTATGTGTAGATCTCAGCCTCTAGATGGCGCTAAAGCACCTACAAGACATTACAGCTGATAAATAACAAACTGCAGTGTGTCAATTTGTTGCTCTCTGCTCTGGGGATGTGAGGACAACCAGGCAAAGGTATGTTTGCTGTGTGTGTGTGTGTGTGTGTGTGTGTGTGTGTACTGCAGGCACCACACACACACACACACACACACACACACACACAGCCAGAACCATTACTAATCTGTAAATAGATCTGTATTGCTGTAATCTCTGCCGAACAAGATCTGCCTCGCTTTGTCTCGCCTTCTCTTCTTCTTCTTCTTCTTCTTCCTCTTCTTCCCCATCTCCCTCGTCTGTCTCAGCGCCTGTGACTCTGTTGTTTGCAAGACTGGATGAATGAGCAACAATCTCTTCATCTCTCTTTCTCTGCTGACTCTTGTCTTTCAGCCTCTCTGACTCACTGTCTTTCAGATTTCGTTTTCAGCTTGTTGTTCTGCCCTTGTTCCATTCTCTCTCTCTCTCTCTCTCTCTCTCTCTCTCTCACTTATGCGTGTTTTTATTTTATTTTATTGTATTTATTATTATCTCAACTCACTTATT